AGATCGAGGAAGACAGATGGTGGATCTACGAAAAGCATGTTAATGCTCCAGAATTTGGAAGAGTGAAGCTGTGGTTGATACAACCTCGACCGGGTCCAAAACCAGCCTGGTTCTCACGCGTGCGGCAGACAATCGGCGGAGTAGGATGCCAGCGAGTTAGAGACGATGTTGACTAAACTAATTCCTGTATGATTTTCACAAGAGGATCTATCACCTTTCCTGTAAACCGGTATGATCACCGACTCACACCATTCAGCTAGAACCTCCTCTCCTTCCCATATTGAGCCCAGGAGTTTTGTCAACTCCAAGACTAACGCTGACTCTCCATCCTTAAACGCTGATGGTAATAGCCCATCTGGGCCAGAGGCCTTATGCCTTTTGAGATAACGTTTTTCCCGAGATACCTCCCTTTCAGATGTTAGTATTGAATGGGCGATTGGAGAAAAACTGTGACTCAGCTACGCTGACGACATCACTTAGTTTATGCACCCAGGATGATGTATGCGGACCCGGAATACAGCGTCTTGTGATCTTTGGTGCTTTGTATGGATATTCTTCAGGGCCAGTTATTTTAGTTGACAAAAAGGTGCACATTTTGTCAACCACATTAGTTCCACTTCATACGAACCTAACCTTACGTGTACTTTTCCGCTTCTATAAGCTCTTGCTCGTTAATTGTTGTATCCACACATAATGCAGAGACAGACGATTTTGAATTTTGAGAATCATTTCGTGTTCGCATAGGCCGTACGCCAGTCGTAATCGAAAGGGAGTGATGGTGTGAATCTGTCATATATGCNATGCTGGTCTGTTCAACGGTAGTTCGTGACTCAGGGTACTGGTTGACTGGAATGCGCAAATCGTGGAATGCCGAGTAAGATGTGCACCATCGAAAATCAAGTTCATGGGTCATGATGAATCCGTGCTGCTTGAAATTCTCCAGTGAACAAGTCAGGTGATATATCAAAGTACAGTGGCAGTTGACGGTCAATAAGTATCGACACAATCAACTTATTTTCACGATCATCCTTCGGTAATGGGGAGTGGGCAGTGACAACGTAGGTATGCGAATAATAGTCAGTCGTTTATTACTGTTACTACATAGTATCACTTGAAAAATTTTGCGGGGAAAACGATCAGTTATAGAAAAACGGATGTAATGGGTAATGGTGCAGCAGCGACATGAGTAGAACACGTAAATATAGAAAGGCGAATACAAGACTTACAGAATTCAGAGAGCGGTGATACGCACTTCAGCCTTCGCATTTTGGAATGCACTCGTAGCACCAAACGAGAAAGATCAGTGATGCAGAGGGTATGGGAGTCAGGTTTGGAGATTTGACATATGGTCGAACAAATGGATGATGGGGTGTATGAACATCAACTAGCATAGTAAAGATACTGATTGGAACCACGGGTGTTTTGATAAAGTAAATCACCATTTCATGGTAAATTTCGTCTCGTATAAAGCAAACGAAACGTGAACTTAAAACTAGGAAGCACTTCACAGCTGTTTCCATCTTGTTAGGTCTCATCAGCGGTGAAATCAGTAGACCCCCACAAGATCAAACCAGGGACCTC